AACAGAAGCCAAGAAATATATTTCACTGGGCAAACATGTTGCAAAAGATCTCTTTAAAATGTCAAAAAGGAAAAATGTCACTTTGAAGACCAAAGTGTGGCTGACACCCCCCCCCCCCGAAGCCATGGCATTTTCTTTTAAGCCATAGTCTTTTCAATTACCATATGCACGTGAAAGCTGGATAATGAACATGGAAGACCAAATAATTTATGTCTTTGAATTATGGTATTGGTGAATATTTACTATAGTATGCATTTTCTGAAGAATGAACAAATCTAGCTTGGAAGAACAGATTGTTCTTTACAAGAGAAGATAGAGAAACTTCACCTTGTGTACTTTGGGCATGTAATCAGGTGGGACCAATCTCTGAAGGAGGTCATCATGCTTGGTGGAGAGTAACAAAGACAGGAAAGTACTCAGCGACATGTAACGCCACAGTGTCTGTAACAATGGCTCGTACAATGTGATGATAGCACATGTCTTAGCAGCTCTTCATTCTGCTGTAAAGCTCTTGGAACTGATCTGATGGCACCCATGAGATGGACTGTTATTATCTGCGGTAATGGGCTCAAGTGTGTCAGGGATGTTAAGGATGATGCAGGATGGGACAGGGTTCAGATCTGCTGTTCATTGGGCCACTATGAGTTGTACCTGACAGCACTTAACAATGACCACCAGTTTATGGCTCCACAGCTTTTGCTACGGTCAAGTAAATCTCACCTTTCACATTCTGGGCCTACCTCTCTGCAATTCAGGGTGGTGGTTTGTCCTGTTATCTCAGTTCCCTGTTGGGTCCAAGAAAGGGCACCAATTTTCAGTTTTTTCAGCTTTTTCTTGTTGAGGGTGACAACTTCCAAACTCTGTCTGCTTTAAAACAAGACATCCATTCTGTTTAAAGTTGTGCTACAAAAGTTTTAGGCAGAAGAGCTTTTACTCTTTCAAGTCCACAAAGAGGCAATTAATATTGGTAATGCATTACTTCTTATGCTGGAAATGTGAATGTCCACATGCAAGGCAGGCTGGGAGAGCTCATGCTTTGAGTCAGACAGCTTGGGCTGGAATCCCAGTGGCATAAGGCTGAGCCAGGTTTAACTTCACCCACTCATTTCCCACATCTGTAAACTGGGGCTGCAGGGAGGAATAAGTGAGATCAATAACTCAGGCGTAAGACCCAGGCAAGTGAGAAGAGTTATTGATCTCATTCTGCCTTAGCCACCAAAGTCAAACACACTGCCGTCAACTCTGACTCAGGGAGACAGTGTTCCACAGTAAGCACTAAATAGTACCCCTTCGGCTTAGTACACCACATGGATCCTGAGGCAGTCTCTGTTTCAAAGGCGTAAGTGATGTGACTCTCAGAAATCCAGCCACTCTTACTCAACCTTGTTCCCCACCCAGTGCTCTCTTCTGCCTCTACTTTTGTGCCCAGACAATGCTCAAATACTCCTCTAACACTGACCTAGACTTTCCTTGCTCCATAGGAAGAAGTGAGACAGACAGACCAAAGTACCATCATTCTACCACTGTGAATGTCCATAAAGTCGTCAGACTACTTCTTTTAACCAGTTACCACATCTACCAGTACCTAAATGCTTTCCAGGCCTGCTGACAGGACAAATTTGTAATGTGTAGAACGCAGGGCAGTACTGAGTTATTTTACCAATACTACAGAAATAACTGAAGATAAGGGCAGGTTTAGGACCCATGTTTATCCCCTGTCCAAGTCTAAAAGGCCTCTAGGGTGTGTAGCGGGTTTAAACTCAATTACTAAGAGAGGCTGGTGGTTTGAACATGCCCAGCGCTACCAAGGAGGAAAGGTCTAGCCATCTTTCATTAACATTCCAGCTAAGAAGATGCTGTGGAGTACATGGGGTCACAGTGACTCAACAATTTAACACAATGGTAATGTTTTCCTTTTTTCCTCTGAGCCCAGTGACCTTGATCTTGCCTCCCAAGCCAAACTCTCTTCTGACATTAAGATGGCCACAATTCCGACAGAAGGGGAAGGACGTAATGTGATGATTTGCACTTGGGAATGCATGAGCATACACACCCAACCACTGACATCTGTTATTTTTATTTTGTTAAAAAAAAAATTCCAATACAAGGCCCCAGAATTGTGCATGCAAATTAACAAGCTACAAACTGACAGTCACTGTCAGACGACCAGGACAATCTGCTACCACTATCAGCGTCCAGGAAAGAATGAGTTTTCACTTTGAGTACAAACACCTAACTCTGCCACTGCCCAGCCTACCTCAAGGCCATGGTGCCTCAGAGGTATATTGCTATGTGAGCAACACAGAAACACTGAGCTGCAAGTAACAATGTATAAGTGTTCTTAAGAGTTACTGGGTGGGGGAAATAAGGCATAGGAAGAAAAGTCAGCTTCATTCATGACATGGATCCCCAAAATCTCTTTCATGTATGTGATGATTAGAGACACTGAGCAGCACTTTATCAAGAACCAGCTCCTCTGCTGAGGGAGTGGAGCTCTCTGCTTTGAAGTACTGCAGAATGGCTGCAATACTCACAGGAGGTTTGCAATACTCACAGGAGGTCAGAACTTGAAGCTGTGTGTACAACTCACAGATCCACTTTTCCTTGTCATCAACTCACCTGTCCACCCAACTCTGTGCCTGTAAGAACTCCAGAAAATGGCTGAAGGATAGAAAAGTTTATATCCTGTTGTGTCTATGTTTATCAAACGGTACAGACAGAAGAACGAAGCTTAAGAATCTACAGACGAATCCAACCATGGTAAAAAGCAATCGAATCAGAGACTGGTTTTTATTTTGGTTTAGTATATTTAGTGAGGTTTTTTTTTTTTTAAAAAAAATATAGTTATTGAATGTTTCTTGTATGAAAAAAAAATGTTTCTTGAATGTTTATTTCTCAAGGTTCTTAATTACTTCATTACCTCTAGTTAGTTCTAGGGAATGGGTATTTTTGGTGAATTAGTCTTACTAGAAATCACCAGTTAAGTAAAAGAGACAGAAAAGACCTTTTGGAATTGCCTGCCTGCTCTTCACGGCAGAGGGACTCCTAATCATTCAGAAAGGGCAACTGAGAGCAGAGGAGTATGCCAGCCAACCAGGAAACCCCCAGAATAACAGCACAGAGGGCATGGACCGCAGAAGCATGGAGGCCCGAGCCAGCATCAGCTCCCAAAACCACCCATTGACCATTACCAGCCTTGGCACCTGGCTGGCACTGGTAACCCCTTCATATCATTTGCTTGTGAACAGAATCTGAATGCAAAGAGGTCCTCCACACATCCTCCACCCACACTCTCACTTTCCCCCCACCCCACACACATCACAGGAGTTTCTATTCACCCAAGAGGCCCAGTGGTACTAAAGAAATGTGAATGGTGTTAGGCAATCCCAAGAGCAACAGAAGCCTTCATCACAGTGCAATAAAAACAATGTCAGCTCCTGCACCAGTGACCAAAAACAGGTGATACAGAGTTAGTTAAGGGACATAAAATGACAACTGCCCAATAAATGCACACTAATAACGAGTACAACTGCAGGACCTATACTGAAAGCTGAACACACCTGAATATCATGATGTCAAACAAGAGTTAAAGGTTTTATCTTGAAAAATCAAAGCACCAGAGCTAAGTTAACTCTTCTGTGATAATGTGAGAAATCTATCACCCACCAACCTTTTTATACTGTCAGGGTTTCTGGGAAGTTGCCATCCCGGCTATAGTATGTGCTATGTGCTACTGCAAGGTGGAATCTATAATGCATGACTCTAAAAATATGGGCCTCATCCCACCAACCCTGCCCCAAGAATCCCTCTGGGATACATGTGTCCTACATAATGCCATCAAAATCCCTATTACCTCTAAATTATGCTTTGATCTCATCATGCCTTCCATTACTGAAAATGCGTGGTATCAACAAAAAATTCAAAGCAGATGATAATTTTGTCATGAGAGGGTAAATAATTTCTACTTACTCCTTTTACTAATAAAAGCACTGTGGCTGTGCTTCTTCAAACATCTCAGTTTCTTAGCTAGTGTTAACACTGCTAAGGAAACAGCCAACCAGCGCCCCAGGTCAGGACAGGACAGCGTGCAATGGGTGAAGGCGAACCACTTGTCCTGAAAATAATTTTCTCTTCTAACCCAAGGAAATTTCCCCTCTTCCTGACACTGTTCTATAAAAGCTTCTTGATCAATTTCTTAATTATCAGCTGGACCTTTTAAAGACGCCCAGATCAATGATTTTGCCAAAGCTCTGAGCAAGGCTTCTCAAAGGAGAGACAATTTCATCAAAGATTCTTTCCTCAAATACTACCTCCTGTCAACCAAAGAGTTAGCCATTCCTATATTTTAGAAGTTCATGATCAGATTCACAATAACCACTTTCCTAAAATAGAGAAACAGGATCTTACACAGAGAAAGAAGGGAACTGCATCTCTCCATCATGCTCTTTAAAAAGAAACATTGGACTCTGTGATTTAAATTATCCTTTGATAGCAACACCTTCCTTTTCTATTGTACAAGCAAGACACACTTGTGTGTAACAGTGTAACAGTGGAGAGGAAACCTACAGCCTTAATGAAGACAAACTTCCACTAGAATTTAAAGGAATCCAGTCTTATTCACTGCAGCGGAAGGAAGGACCATATGCAAGGCTGCCTGGTAACACTGCATAATAACCAACGACCAGTAACAGACTGACTTAAGAGGTGCAGAGCAACCATTTCTACCCCAGGCAAAACAATGCTGCATTTAGTTATATCTTGGGAATAAAAATTGTAAAGTTCCTTCAAAGAGTAAAACTTGCAATTAAAAAAACAAAAAAACCCCAAAACCCTAAACACCAGAAAACAGCAAGTAAATTCTGATTCTGCCTGCTCTACTTTGCAATAGTGTAGTGCAAATACCTAAAGTGCACAGCACAAGACGGCAGACTGCCTCCCCTACCCCATGGTATCTTGCTTCTCGCCTTACCTCCCTCCCCCATCAATCCCACAAGCCCCCATCAGTCAGCAGCCCCCTTCTGCTTGGCCAGAGCATGCTTCAGCTCCCGCAGGTTCTCCGTAAGCACCTCCACCTCATCCAGGCGGCCACACTGCTTGGCATCAAAGATGTACGCCTTGATGTTGTCGATCTGCTGGAGGAGGAGCTCCTCCTCAATAGGCTCCTCGCCCTCTGGCTCACGGTCACTGTCCATCTCAAAGGGGTTGGTACAGGCAGGCTCCTCAAAGGGGTTGCCAGGAACAGGGGTTTCAGAGTTTTTCTGAGTGGACTGTTCATATCCCTCATCGAAGGGGTTAGGTGCTGGGCCATCTGGGGTAGTGAAAGGATTCCCTACCACTTCCTCTTCCTCCTCCTCCTCCTCCTCTTCCTCAAAAGGATTGTACTCTTTTGGGATCTGGACTGAGGGAGTGAAGGAAGCCTCTGCAGCAGGAGGGCTACCAGTGACCTCCCCTGCCGGGCTGGAGAGGTCTTCCTCATCGAAGGGGTTTGGGGCAGGCACCTCCTTTTGCTGTGACATGGTGTTCTGGGGGAAGAAGTCCTGGGTTGGGGGTCCAGACCACACTCTGATGGGCTCTCCCACTGAGCTAGGTGAAGGGGTCTTGAGACCCATGTTGCTTTCGACTAGAGGAGAGTCTAGGTCCAGAGCATAAGCAAGGTGGGCTCGAGGCTCCCTGCTGGGCTCCAGCTGAAAGGGCCTGACTTCTCGGAAGTCCAGGGATCGTGTCCGTGTGTGCAGGGATGCCGCCTGCAACTGCTCCCTTTCTCGCTCCCACTCTCGTTCTTGGAGCATCTGCAGCTGTTCCCGCTGCAGGTCCTCCTCCTCAGCCTGCTTCCGGGACAGCTCAATGGCCTTTTCTGTCTGCTGCTGATCGTACTCATCCTGCAACTGCTTTAAGTTCTCCTGCAGGGTGCGCATTTCATCTGCCCGGCCTGCAGCCTTGGCCTGCCTGATGAAGGACGTGATGTTGTGGATCTGCTGGAGAAGAGGGTCCAATTCTTCACTGTGGCCCTGCCCTCCCGACTGTGGGAGCCAGCCCTCAGCCTTCCGCAAGGGGGTAGGGCCCCTGCCAAGAGATGCCACCTCCCCATTGGCAGCAAGAGACGCCAGGTCATTCTGTCTTTCCTCCAGCCTCCGCTGGGATTCCATGGTGGCCTGAAGAAAAGAAACACAGTGACATGCTAACAGCAGAGCTACCGTGACTGCCTGTTTATCCTATGCCAGGAAGACGCTAATTTCCTACCTTAGGAAAAACACAACCCGCTGCTACAACTATACACACACGCACACACACACACATACATATTTTTGGTGGAGAAAGGGGATGGCAGAGTCTGATTTTTAACAAGAAAAGAAAACAAATCATAGTCGACTCAAGGATGAGTTTTCCTGGCCATCTACTTTTCCCGCTCACCTGCCTCTCCAGGTTCCTCCTTTTCTCCAGGTCCTGCTTCCTTCTCTTTTTTAGTTCCTCAAATTCTTCTTTGGTTGGTAGTGACATTAATCCAAGCAACTTCTCCTAAAGAGAGACAGAGATCATCTCACACTCACACCCTTCTAGGGGAAAAAAGGCAAAGCAACCTTAAGCCCTATGATGAGTCTGTGTCAGCTGAGCCACTACACACTCGGATTAATGTTAATTGATGGCAACAGGAAAGGGCCGACTCCTTAAATTAAGCCAGAGAGTCAGCTTCCAAGTCATTCTGCCTCTTACTTATGAAACTTTCAGCATCTGACATCCTGGGCACAAATATCACCTGGCTCACAGGTCACCTTCTCAGTGAGTCCTCTTCTGTGACCACTAAAGTGAATTTATAAACCTCCACCCCAGCTTCCTGTTGCTCCACCTGCCCCACTGGCCTCTTCACCATCTTGCACAGTATGCACTCTGGCTGTGTACAGTATATCCCCTCTAGAGTGCAAGTCTTACAAGAACAAAAATGTTTGTCTTCTTTGTTTTCTGTAGGACACTCTGGTGGACCACTGAGAAAAGAGTTGCACTTTCAACCCAAAGACAGGTGGTTCAAGCCCATCAGCTGCTCTGCAGAAGAAAGATGGGCAATCTTAATAGCTTCTGCAAAACTGCTAGGGGGTCAGTGGCAAGTTGGCTCTGGCTCGACAGCAAAGAGCTGAGTTTTGGTTTTGGCTAGAGCAGGAGACTGAATACCTAGAATACTGGCTAATAGAGTAGGTACTCAAGAAATGACTGCCGAATAAAATCATACCAACTGATAGTTAAACAGAATGTGAATGGATTAATATATGAATTATTATATTAATATATAGAACACTCAATAAGAGCATAATACACAATGTATTCAATCAAAGCATACAGAAATATATAAAGCAAATGGAAATAAAAAGACCAAGGATAGCAGTATTAACTTCTAATAAAAGAGATTTTAAGGAAGACACTAGCATAAGATATAATGACTAAAGGGTCAAGTGAACATGAAGATATAACAACAATTAGTGTCTATATACCTAGTGATCAAGTGCCAAAATACATAAATCAAATTTTAACAGACTTGAAAAGAGAAATAGGTAACTCTCTATTAGGACACTTTAATACGCCACTTTTGATAAAGGACAGCACTAGAAAGAAATTCAGCAGACACAAAAGAACTAAACAACACAATTAACCGAGTTTCACAGACATAACTAGAACATTTCACTTAGCCAGACCACAGGACACACTTTTTCCCAGTGCACACAGAATATTCTCTAGGACAGACCATCTCAGGTCACAAACTAACCATTTTAATATATTTTTAAAAAATACTTAAATGTATCTTTTCAGATCACAATGATATAAAAATCACAAAAATCAACAGAGGATGATCAAGGAAAAGAAAGAAATTATCTGGAAACTAAATAACCCTGCTTAAAACCTAAAGGGTAGTAAAGAAATAAAATGGAAATTAAAATTGTCCCACAAACTGAACCAAAAACTTATGGGGCACAACAAAAGTGCTATTCAGAGGACAATTTATAGCAATAAATACAAACATTAAAAAAAGAAGAATGAACCAAAATAAAAATCTTAATACAAAAAATACAACATTTAGGGGGAAAGTAGCCAAAACAAACAAACAAATAATCCAACAACTACAGTTTCCAGAAGAAAACAATAAAAATCGGAGCAGAAAGGAATGAAACAGAAAAAAGTTCTTTGAAAGAATTAATAAAATTGTACTGGAATTTCTAGCCAGAGATATAAGACAAAAAGGGGGAAATAAAAGGCATCCACAATGGCAAAGAAATAAAAATGTCTCTTTTTGCAGATGATACAGCATATCTCAAAGACTCAGCAAGAAAATCACTGATATTTAAAATGATTCTACAAAGTGGGAAGATCCAAGATCAATATATAAAAAAACCAGTCATTTTTCTATGTTAAGAAACAGAACTCTAAAAAGGAAGTAAGGAAAACAATACCATTTTCAGTTTTTAAAAACTCTCAAACCTGTTGAGGAGTTGGTTCCTACTCACAGTGACTCTGTATTGGGTTTCTGAAGCTATAAACTGTAATCATCTACAACAGCCACCCAAAAAATTAAAATCAACAATAACTCTAACCAGAGATATAAAAGACCTATACAAAGAAATCCACAAAACATTACTTAAAAAAACCCCAAAAGGTAATCGCATAAATGGAAGAATATAGCATGCTCACGGACAGGAAGACTCAACATTGTTAAAATGTCTATGCAATCAATACTGAATGCAATCTATAGATAAAATGAACCAGAGTCCATAATCATTCTTCAAACAGATGAAAAATACTATCACCAACTTTATACAGAAAGGGCAGAGATGTAAGGAAAGAAGAGAAAAGAAAAGCATTACTGAGGAAGAACAAAGCAGGAGGCCTCATACTTTCTGATCTCAGAACCTATTACATAGACTTGGGAGTCAAAACAGCCTAGTACAAATATACCGACAGGCACATTAACCAATGGAACAAAACTATGAAACCAGAATTAAATCTGTCTCCCTATGAACAGCTGACCTATGACAAAGAGCTGATATCCAAGGGAGCTCTGGTGGCCTAGTGGCAAGAAGCTGCACTGCAACCCCCGAGGTGTGTGGTTCAAATCCACCAGATGCTCTGCTGGAGAAGGAGGGACAATCTCCTCCTGTGCCAGTCAAATCTGATTGGATGGTACACACACACACACACAAACACACAAAGAGCTGAAATCCATTAAGACAATTTCTCTAGCAAATGGTGCTCGCAAATGGATTTCTATTTGCAGAAAAATGAGACAAAATCTATACTTCACACCACACATAAAAGCGAACTCAAAGACCTGAATATAAAGCCTAAAACTACAAGGATTATCCAAGAAAAACTAGGCAAATTTAGGAGCTCTAATGTATAGCACAAACTACCATATATAATCCAAAATACGTAAATGGTAGCAGATAAAGTAGGGAAATAAACCCTTCCTAAAATCAAATTCTTATGTGCATCAAAAGAATTCCAGTGAAGGAGTTTTTCTTTTGCTTTTAAAGAAGAGCAAACTGGGCGTGGGGGTGGGGTGGGCAGGGAGAAAAGTGCAACAATGAATGAATGGAAATCCACAATCTCTGTAAATGTTCATCGAAATTAATAATTAAAAAATGTAAAAAAAAAGAATTCTCTAAAAGAGTAAGAGATAGATTATAGATATATAGATTGGAGAAAAAATATTTGGCAATGACATATCCAAGGGCCTCATCTGTAAAACTGATAAAAAACACCAACATTAAAACCAAAAAGACTAACGACATACTTCACCAAAGAAAGCATTTAGATGGCCAACAAACACTTGAAGAAATCCTCATAATCATTAGCTGCAAGTTTCCAAGGCTATAAATCATAAAGTAAAGAAATTGTCCCACTTTTTTCCCAAGGAACCACTGAAAGATTCAAACTACCAGAGATGTGCAGCCTTTGGATAATAGCAGAACTCTCTAAGGAGTGCACCACCAGAATTCCCCAAATAGATAAAAGACATAGTCAGGTGAGTGAAGGGGAAGGTAATACACAGTAAGAGGATGATCAGCACAAAATCACTAAAGATATGGAAGACATGAAGAGATGTATAAGAGAAATATTCAACAAAGGTAAATATTATTACATACATAATACTCAATTATCGGTAATAATAATCTATAGGTGGATACATAAGAAAACAGGTAAGATGAACTAATATGGAGGGACTATACCCATGACAATACACAAGTCTGGCAGATGTTATTTTTACATTCACCTTAGTATATGCTGTAAATGTATCCATGTATGGGCACCAACAGGAGCAAAGTTAACTTTCTAGTCAAAAACAAACACCCTGATGCAATGAGTTACTGGTCCTAGGACATCAGGACCATAGTTTCTGGGAACATCAAGGTCAACTGGCATTATATAATCCACAAAGACTTCCGTATCACACTCTGGTTAGCAGCTGACCCAGGCCAAGCTTGCAAGCAGCAAGGTACAGGAAATGACCTCTTCCAGTCTGGAACAAATGAAAAGAAAGAAAAGCAAAGATGCATAGAAAAAATTAGGCCAAAAGACTAACAGACCAAGTGAGCGTCAACCTCTGTGACCCTGAGATCAGAAGAACTAAATGGTGCACAGCTCTCCCTGCTGACTGCTCTCAGAAGGACCATAGCAGAAGACCCTGGACAGAATGAGGGTTAATAAAAATAGAAGAAAACTAAAAAATGTGAAAATGGAAAGGTTTATTGATCTAACAGTGACTGGCAGAATCCTTGAAGCTGTGGTGCTCAGTCACCCTTTGAACCTGGGACAAAATTCACCTCTGTGGCTCAACTTTCAGCTAAGCAGCAGGAGACAATAATGTAACATGAACAATAATACCATAAGATACTAACTTCTTAGAACAATCAATCATACAATATTAAAAAGGGCACCACTCGCCCAAGGAAAAAATTCAGAAGGCAGGAAGGGATATGATAAAGACCATTGAAAACAGGAATTATAGGGAGGCATCAGAAAGAGTATAATTACAGTGTATTATAATTAATGTCATAGAACAAAATGTATACTAATGATTGAATGGAAGTTTGCTTTATAAACTTACATTAAAATCACACAAAATTATTTATTATTATTAAATATAATTGCTAATCAAAAGGAGAAAAGCCTTCATTTCTCCAATACAGTGTTAGGAAACTAATCCAACAGGATTCTAGCTATTAGAACCCAATCAGAAGCCCCAGGCATGGTGACCTGCGGTTCTTTCAAAAACAGTCTTCAGTGGTAAAAAGATACAACTCAGATTTAACTACTTAGCTTTAACATGCTTCTTAACCACCAGTCATTTCTTCCTAATCAGTGTCCCAGGAAGAGTTGCTCTGGATAAAGGCTATGTCAAAGTATTCCCAGCATAGTAAAGCTTCCAAGTAAAAATCAGAACCTGTCAACTCCATCAAACACCCAACTAAAAGAGAGCAAATACAGTCAAGGCAGTATCCTACAGCCATTCAAACAACAATGATCAGACCATCTAAGGAAAAAAAGGAGACATAAATCTGTAAATCTCTGCTAAATGTAACTAATGCATACTAAAAAAAATGCATTTGGGAAAAACACAGAATATACCAAATGATAAGTGGCTATACCGGGGATATGGGATTAAAAGTAGATTTGCTGTTTTCTGGAATCCAGATTTTTCTCTAAATATGGAACAATACATTGGTAATATATTTTTTTTATTTATTTTTTTAAACTCGTCACTCATTT